TCAATTTTATAAAATTTAATAAAATAATTATTAAATACTTTATCATATTAGTTTATTTCAATAAATAATTATTTTTAAAATATAAATAAATATCAAATTTTAAATAATATATCAACACGTGTCAATATAATTTTTGGTGTCTTAATCGATGATCGCATAATTAATTGGTAAGCTATGATAGGGGACCTTTAATTAATTAGAACTAATTCCATCTTTAATTGTTACCTTCCGTTAAGGTAAATCAAGCATGCATGCATGCATATGTTCTTTAGTTCTCATTAAATATGCTTCAACCATAATGTATATGCCAAATTTGTGACTTACATATATTCATTTCTAAGTCTTACTACATTTTCATTGCGGAAGACTTTGTAACTCATTCAAAATGTGACTTCAATTTTCACACATCGTAGCCACATGAAAATTTCTTAAAATGCAAGTAAGCAAGACTTATGTTAATAACTTTTTGTAGACCAAAAGGGAAAGAAAAACAACACATAAAGGAGTATATCATGTCAGGAGAATATCAAGAGTCTGTGTGTTGAAATATACCTAAATGGAAGAATTCCTAGTGAAATATACCTTACAAAAGTTTTGAGCTCATGTTATGCTTGCAGACTAGTGTAAGAAGCTCATAACTCTTCTTCTTCTTTTTTCCTTATAATCTCATTCCATTTTTAAAATGATCACATTTGCGTTAGACATACCATAGTAGCTAAGAGATGAACAATTATTTGTTAACAATATGGTGTCATATCACAAAAGCAGGGACTAGGGAGAACGTTGGGTTTAAAAGATCTTAACCCTCTTTGATAATACCTATTTATGGGGTGGTACATGCAACCTTATATGAGCTTGCCAAACTTATTAACTGAGTTAGGTATTTGCAACTTTCAAAGAACATGCCAAACTAATTATATGTGCCTTATCTGCATACGCACATTCAAATTTTAAAGAACCTGCATAACATTGTTTATGATAAATTAGCTTGTCTTTCATAGCCTATGTTAATCACGAGTACTTCATATGATACAAAAGTAGAAAAAAGATATACTTAACGATTATTGTGTTATTTAGAGATTATTTCATTACTGCTAGAAATTTAAAAATTTCCTTTTATTTAAGATATCTTTCATCGTCTTATAAAATTTTATATTTAATATGACTTATTTATGATTTTATATTTGATATAGATTCATATACAATTATTTTTGTTATATTTAGATTATAAAAACCGTTTAAATGTAAATTTTTATTCAAACTTTTGTATAATAATACATAGTTAATATTATTTTAGGGTGAAAATCAAATTATATTAAATATAAAATTTAGTAAAATGATATATTTAATAATTTTAGTGAATATAATCATTAATTCTTGTAATATAAAAATTATGCATGAAAAATTTTACACAATTTAAATATTTATAAATATATAATTTAATAATTATTTATTTATATTTTAAATAGTATATCATGTAACATCCTATATTTTGATTTAAATAAAATGAGGTTTGTTAAAGTATAATTGGAATAGATTTGGATAGAATTTATTATTAAAAAAAAAAAAAAAAAAGTGAACAGTAAACCCGCCTATGAACAGTGTCGATGAACAGTAAACCGCCTATGAACAGTAAACCGCGTATGAACAGTGAAATCGCCTTTGTACAGTGATGATGACGTCATCAATGACATCAGCATGACGTCATGGCTGACGTCACATCCGCGTACAGTACGCGTACAATCCGTGTACAGTACGTGTGCACAGTGTTTTCGGCGTGAACAGTTACCACGAACAGTGTTTCCGGCAATGAACAGTAAATTCCGGCGGTGAACAGTAACTTCAAAAATTTTCTGTAAAAAGGGGGTTGCAGACGAAATTTTCATTTCTTCACTCCTATCCAAGGTTCTCAAAGGTTCTAAGGTCATATCTCGCCATTTTCTCCCATACTAAACCTCCTAAACTTAGATTTTTCTTCAGATCTGTGATTCTACGTTCGATCTAAAGGATTACAAGTAAGTTTTTCTAAGTTTGAAGTTAGATTTACCGTTCGTTTCTCTTCTTCTTCTTCTTCTTATAGATGTTTATGATGTTCTTAGGAAAACCTCCGTTCTAGAGTTAAACCTTCGGTTAAATCCTTGTAAAAGCTCTGTTTTGAGGTAAGGGGGGCTCTACTTTATCATTTCGTTATGTTTATTACTTGTATTCTCATAGATCTTGTCATGTATGTAATTATATGTGAAATAATCCCTGTTTTATGAGAAATAATCGGTGAAAAGTGAGAATAATTAGCTGTTTATGTGATTTTATGATAAGTATATGGTGAAATTGTGATATTATGTTCAAATAGGGCATGATAAGGTATATTGAGGATGATTGATATGATTTTATGATTTTGTGATATGAAATATACGAAGAGATAGATGTTTCATGTTTGAATATATTGTGTTTTATGTAAAAATGATGTGTATTGTGAATATGCCATGGTTTGATGTATATGATGAAAAGTATAATGAAAAATATGTGTAAACATGATAAATGGCATATGTGAACATGTGAATATACTCGAAAGAGTATGAGATGGAAAAAGATATGATGTAAATAGTTACAGAGATACACTGGGGAGTGGAAGATGGAGACGATATGGGATATCTTGGGGAAATGCAGGGTGGTGAGTGACATTCGGGATTGTGCACGGAATATTGTGTTCGAATGCACCACATGACCACACACTCATTTCTCGACTTGACTCCTGACCATTACCTTTGTTAAGGGGCCGTCTATTGCATGCGTTGTATCCGTATTCCATTGGGCCATCCGACGACTATTTACATGGATGTGTAAGACCTCGAGATAGAGGCATCGGATAACTGTGGCCACAGGGCGCGGTAAGCGCGGATAAAAGTAAAAGAAATTGTGAATCTGTGTAAAGTAATGCGCGTTGAGATGAGAATATGCTTTATATAACCTTGTGATATGTAATGCCATGATGTTTTCTTTAATCGTGATAAGATGTGTTTTGTGAAGAATGTATATGTTATGTATGAGTGGTAGGGTAGAGACTCACCCTTACACAACATTTTTCAGGAAACCAGGTTGAATAGTACCAGGCTCACAGTGCATGGATGGATGAGAACTGCTATAGGACTTAGTTATTTTGAGTTATGTAATGAATATTTTCAGTTCTATAGCGTTCTTTTGAAACAGTTGTAAAACTACTATTTCTTTTTATTGCTGATGAAAATTCTGGAATCTTTGTTTTTCTAAAATACTTATGAATTAATGAAATTTTACTCTATGAACCTTATGCCTTTTCCATGTCTGTTTCCATTTAGAGAGTTTTTGAAAGAAAAATTTATTCTACTATTTAATTTTTTTTTATGAAAATTTATTATATATTGAGAAAAGAAATATAAGGCGTTACATATCAGACTGTTGAAATATAGTAAAGAAATATAACATAATTAGTATGAATTGCGTAAAAAAAATTTAGATTTAATTTAGTTTATAAAAAATTTGAAATTGAGTAATTGAATTGATAAAATTTATTTTATCATTTTATAATGATCCGTTATATATATATATATATATATATATATATATATATATATATATGTATGTATATATAAATGCTTGCTTATTACTCCATTGACATAAATTGTTTTAATTTAATTTATTGTTTTAAATATAATTTTTGGTGTATACAATTATGTTAAATACTTAAGAGAAAGAATTTTACTGTTTTACTGTTTATAATAATTATATAGTCAATTTGAATAAGATTTTCGAGGATACTTTTATTCTTGTTACCGTTATTGTAAAATAAATTAAAGTTATCCACTTGTGAGCATCTTAATTCCAATCTCATGCATTGTATGGCTCATTTAGTGAGGCTAAATTTTGCTATTTGGTACGACAATTTTGACTTTTACCTTTCAAAAGGTAATTATTAACGAGAAAGAGACTTGATCTCATATATTCGAGTTGTCAAATAATAATATCAACTCTTTTCATTTAGACAAAAAAAATAATCTCTATGTTTTATTTTAGACAAAATAAAATAAAATAATATTTCATCAAATAACTTACTTTTAAGATATTTTGGCAACTTCGAGTCAATTAAAGAAGAGAACAACGGGGCTAATTAATTTCAATGAAGAAAGAGAAAACTTTAATTCAGTTTTAGTGAAGACCTTACTGTATTAATTGAATTTTATTATTAAACATGTGCGTGAGAGAGAGATAATAACTAAAATAAATAATAATAATTTTTTATTCTATAACTTGTATTTTTTATTATTTTTATTTCATCAATAAAATCATATAATAAAAGTTATTACACATTTTAACAAGAAACAATAATAATTAGTGGAGTCAGTAAAACTTTTGTAATCCCTTCACCAACACAGACACAAGTATTTTCTTTAATCAAATCCTTCTGTTATTTTTCTTCTTTGAATAAATAAAAGAGTAGTTTATTAAAAATGTTAATAAATTAGTTTTTTTTTAAGACATTTATGCATCTTTTTTCAAACAAAAGGAGAATGACCTTCACAAAATAAAAAGAATAAATTTTAAAAATACAATAAATGTAATTTATTTGAAAAGTTATAAGTATCTTTTTCTAAAATAAAATGAGGAAGTCAGTAACCATTGCGTGGGACAAAGGATTCAATAGCTAAGCGAAATTATTTTAAAAGAAATATACAAATATTCACGAAAGTGTTCAGAGTCGGATTCGAATTGTGTTCAATCAGCACCCCACCAACTTTAGAACATACATGCACGACAACTTACCACCAACTAGATATTATGTCAAATTATCAATTATATTGTTATGTTTATTTTATGATTTTATCATTAAATTACAAGATACAAGCTAATCTTATCCTATGTTTTTTTCCCTGACCATTTTAGTGAGAAAAAGGGTAGAGGAAGAATAGGGAGGAGAAAAGAGCCATTTGCTTGAGCCTAAACCTAAGACACCATTACATAAGGTATTAACATGCTAATTGATCTCTAAAGGAAGAGATTTCCTCAAAGATGGGTAGTCTTCTTTGTCTATTTGTGCTCCATGCATTTAGCAATTCATCTATCCCTTTGACAAAGTCATCATCAAGGCCCAAAGCATCCATAAACTCAGGTTGAGGCATATTAGCATTCAACTCTGCAAGCAATTCCTCAGCTCTTGTCCTGGATTTTATTTCATCACACCCTGGAAGTTTTCCTTGCACAACCTCTTCAAGAACATAATAAGCTTCCTCATAACGAGATTGCCTCATAAGACATAAGCCCAAGTTGCAAGCCTTATTAGCATCAGCATCTATCATTTGGGCTTTCTTGAACACGACCTCGGCCATCATGTAGTTTCCTTTCTGCATGTAGGCCCAGCCCAAGTTTCCCTGTAGCATCAATCAATGTTTTAAAATCTAAGTTTGGACATTGCTATGGCTAATTAATTATTTGATTGAATCAATGATACGTAACTGACCAATGTATTTTGTTTTATAACTGCATGATATATTTCTCGTGATTACCGTATAAGTTAACTTTTTTTTATCAATTGAAATATATATATATATATATATATATATATATATATATTGATTTTGCTTTGTTAGTGCTATTTCTTGCGTTAAGGGTCCATAATCCTCTTCCCATGAAAGTTAAAGCATTCAAATATTTTGATAGTTTTGTTATAAAGCACGATGCTTTCTAAGATAACTCTCAACAGATTCAAAGCTGGCAGCAGTAATTTAAATATGAAGAGCAAACAAATGGTTAGCAATAATTTTAGAGTAGCAGACTTGGATTATGTTTGGCATTCTGTTTAAAAGTTTCATGTTGTGGCATTTTTTAAGTTTCAATCTAAGCAAAATTAATTAATAAATAAACAAGTTTATCTAATTTGATTAAACAAAATCAATTATTTAAGTACCAATAATCTTGCAGTTTCTTGCTTGATGGAAACTTGGAACTTCTTGCCATGAGATCGAGCAGTCCTTGTGGTCTTTCCATTAAAGGCCTCGCCTTGGTAAATAAGTTTTAGCTTTCTCTTCAACAATTCAATTTGCTCCTCTATTCTTCCACATTTCTGTCTTTCAAGGAAAACTAAATTAGATTGATCTTGTAATTGTTTAACTAATTAAACACCATTAACATGTTACTATGGAACAACCTAAACTGATACTTTACCCTTTCTAACTCTATAGTAAATAATGAAAGAAGAAAAATTAAGTACTGAATAATAAGAAATGAAACTTGTGTGTCTATTGTGGAGCATTATTTTGAACTCAAAGTAGCATATAAATTATAATGAGGGATTCATAGTTCAAGCAGATGTTTATACCTTGTAAAGGTCAAGCAATACATTATCAAGTGACTCTTGAGACTGCTTGGAACAAAGGCCTCTAAAGGATTTGATGGCTTCAATTGCTTCTTCAGCTCTGTCTAATTGTTTCATCACAACAGCCATATCCTTTAGGGCACTGTCCACTTTGTCTCCAGCATTGATTGCCTTCCAAAATAGCACTATAGCTGCTTCTGGATCCTTATCAACCAACTAAAATTCATGTGCATTAATTTGTTTCCAAGAAAATAATAGCAATAATTAGTATCAAATTATAATTGTTCATTCAACTATATTAAAAGTATGATGCAAAGAAAATAAAACTGTGTGGTCTAGGGGTTTGGATCTAACCTAGATTTAGTTGTACATGTATGTAGTCACACAGTCAAGTGAAAGAGTAAATTTGGTGCTAAAGCAATATTGTTACTTAACAGTTTCTCATTATTCAGTGATAATTATGTAGTACATAATACTTAAATGCATAGTTCTTTAGGATAGAGTCTTGTATCCTGTGAATAACTTCAAAATATAAAAGAAAAACATGTTCCTTGAATTTTAAAGATTCTATGAATCTTATAGAAGCACCAGATCTACAACGTGTTGGAAAAGGAGTGTCAGAGTTATAGTGGAAATAAAACTTTAAAAAAGTGGAAATGTAAACCACTTCAACTGAAAGCCAATAGTATACGGTAGTTTATTAGATGTCCATGCTTTTTAATATTAATATTCTCTTGAGAAACAAACAGAGCACCTCTTGTTTCAACATGATATACACATTGGTCAATTCCAAATATCACTGTTTTCAGTAGAGCACTAAAAGCTTTTCTACTTTGATTCCAAAACCTGTCTCAACCCCAAAAGTATACAAACGACAGCAAACACTTTTAAATACTTGAAATATTGTGAATTGTAATTATTTTGCAATCTCCATAGCTGGAACAAACCATTTGATGAAAATTAAAAAAGAAAGAAGAAAGATGGTGCAATTATGATAATTATAAGGATATAAATGGTTCCACCTTATGTAGGAACAAAGTTTCTGATACCAAATCAAGGGTCCAACTTAAAACAAAATAAAAAGAGCAAAATTGAAAAGGGTAAACATATATATATATATATGAATACCTGAGCATGCTTGGCTTTGACATAAGGACTATCTCCATAAGGTACCTTATGAATAACATGATAAAGGTCATCTTTTTTTCCTCTTGAACTCTTCTTGCAAACGCTTCCTTCCATCTGAATCTCAAAAGAAACCAGTTTGTATCTCTTGTGTTTAGGTCCACATGCACCTCATGAATTATGAGGAGAAAGAGAGAGAGAAGAAATGTAAATGGGGGGTCTACTTTGATAAAGAGAAACCAAGGACATAGGAGGATAATATATACAAGTAATATGTGACACAAGCTTGAATCTGGATGAGAGTGCGTCCACATTCCCTCTCTGCACAATGTCACACACAACAACTAATCATGTACACCCTCAAGCCTAATTGCTATGCTCCACGTGTCATCATAATATTAAATACTGTTTGACTCTGTCGTTTTGTTTTGAGTAAATGAACTGCGGAACCAATTCATATTAGCGTCTACATTCGTTCTTACTCTTTCACTCACCACAGCATCATCTTCAGTTCAAAAACTATTTAATGGTTTTTTTTTAGCAGGTAATTTAATTTAACTATAATGATTTTGAACTATATATATATTTATTAACATTTTTATTTCGATATATCAATGAGTGTCTTTAACAATAGTACACCTTTAATCCTATCCATCAAAGCACCAATGAAATGATGAGGAAATTAAATAAAAGCCAACTTACAAAATTACCTCATAAGCTTAAACTATTAATTAGTATAGTGTGTTATTAATAATATTTAATAATCATTTTATTTTGTTATGTATATATTTTATAAAAATATTAAAATTTACTTAAAAATATTCAATTATTTATTAAGTACATAAAAATTACTTTATATTAATTAAACTATTAAAAGTAATATAAAATGTATAATAAAAAATTAAAAAATTGGAAATATAAAAGTTTAAAAATGTATAGATGAAATATATGATAAATAAAATATAAAAATATAAATTTTAAAAATATCATGTGACACGTTTAATAACAAAATTTAATAATAATAATAATAATAATATAGACTATTTTATAGTGAATTTTTTAATGTGTGCCCAAGGGCCATGATAAAAAAAAAACCAATAAATAGTAAATTTTTATTAAAACTTAAACTATTTAATGTTATTAATGCATTGAATTTAATTATATTTTGTGATTTTCAATAAAAACTTACTATACATAGATTCTTATTCTTATTCTGTGTTTTGTGCACACATTAGATAAATTGTTATATTATTAATTATTTGTAATTTTTTATTTATGTTAAGAAATATTGAATAATAAATTTTAAAACTTACTTAAAAAAGGAAGTATTTTCATGTAGCATTTTCAGTGAAAGAGTGTAAAAAAAATGACGCATTGCATTTTTAATAGAAGTTTAGTAGTAGTAGTAGAGAGAGAGAGAGAGAGATTACGGCTGCTCAAGTAGCTTCTAAACAACCGTCTGCAGCACCAGCAAATCATTATAAGTCTAAAATTAGTAACAACAGTGATAAACCTTGGTTCTTTGTTTTGAACGGGACGAAGATGGGTTGCCACTACGAATGAAGCTAACCAATCAGATTAGTCTGCGTAAACATTCGTGGTTGAATATAGTACGTACAGGAGCTTTATTATTTTTTTACATATAAACAATTTTGCTATATTTTTTATCATATTATAAAATAACTACTAAATAAAAAAATATTATTTTAAAAATATAATAATATTTAATAATTAAAAATAGAATAAATTAAAATTACTAATAAAGGAAGGGTGGGTGGGGTTTTTGAGGAGGTGACAAGAAGTGTGGGGTATATAGAAGCGAATGGGGACTGAATCAAGTTTAGATTCAGTTAGATGCATTATATGAAATGTCTCTGCGATCCAACTCTTGTCATTTTCGCCGTTGAAGTAGAATACTAGAATCTCATTCTTTGTTTTAACTTTTTTCTTCTTTTTAAAGTTTTACTTTTTATTTTCCTATTTTAATTCAGAATACAAGTATATTTTTATCACAGTAATTACGTTCTATTTAAGAGATTCTCGGTATAAATATTTTTTACATATTTTTCATTTTCCTTATGTCTTGTTATGACCTTAATTGACTTAATTACACATTTTCAGAAAAATTAACACTTTAGTGTTTTAATTTTATTTTTTATTTTATTTTATTCCTTTAATTCTTTTGTCATTTAAATTTGGTCCGTAATTTCTTTCTAGAGGAACAAATTAAAAGAAATTAAAGGACGAACTTTCAAAAATTAATTTTTAATTTATTTATCTTTTTCATGCAACTTCATTTTAGAAAAAGTTAAAAATTTATTCAAAAGTATATTTTACGATAAAAAAATGTTTTAAGTTAGTTATTATTAGAGTAATACGAATACACTATGAGTATATGAACCTATGATTTTAGGTTTAAGTTCTAGTAAATAAATGTAGTTGTATTTAATATTTGAAAGTAATGTTAATTGACTCAATAATTTTAATAAAAAATATTAAAATTTATGTATAAGGAGTAGAAGAGTGAATATGTACATTTTTAATTTAGACAATTTGTTTATCTTTTATTTACACTTTTAATTCTTTTATTTTTTTATTTTATTTATTTTTAATTTATCAATGTAAGATTTTTTTTCTTTAACACTTTTTTATAAGTTTAGTTAGATTGGCTTAATCGTGACTTGTACTCAATTTTCAATTTTGGCATTCTAATTATTTTACTAATTGTTTTTATTTAGACCTTAGGCTTTCTCTTGCACATAAACTCTTGTATGATTTTATTCATGGATTATGTTTAAAAGCATAAGAAATAAGTTAGTGAATTTATGTTTGAGTAATTTATTTATTTAATAAGAATACTAACATTTTTATATTCAGATTTCTTGTTTATATTAATTTATTTGCTTTTTACTTACCAATGTAGAATTTATTTTTCTCAAAAATTATTCAAGTATCAAGGTGTGGTGAATAAGTCTAACATTGGACGAAATTGGAGAAGTTAAGTAACATATAATAATAAAAATTTATCCATACACACAAAGTTTTAAGATATTTTTGTTGGATGTAGTTTCTAACTCATTAATAGTTTTTACTTGACCCGCTATTGAAAATCTTCCATGTTGTAAGCTTCCTCTAATGACTTAACAATGGACATTAGAGCTTATAGTGTGACCAAATGACTAATCAGGAAACATATTGAAACAGAACAAAGTGCTGATAGATTCATATGAAAATTTTTATATCAAAATTCTTCATGGCAATATTCATAGAGGTCAAGTGACATTTTCCTCTCACAGTAGATAACCACAATACAAATACAACTAGTGTCACCATCAAATGCTCATAAATGGAAGAAATAAGGCTCTCACTTGAGTGGAAGCGTGTAGATGGAAGGGTTGAATGAAAGAAATGTCCTACTTGAGGGGAGCACTATGAGATAGAAGCCCCACACCTAAATGAGCAAGATTGTTAAGAGTGTGAGAAGTTTTTCATTTCACAAAAATGGAAAATTTTAATAATACATAGATTATCAAGATTTAGATGCATAATCTCTTACAACTGTGTTAATAGTTATGTTGAATTTATTTGTATGGATTTTATTTAATCCGTTGTTCAAGATCACTCAATATTTTAGGATTTTTTTTTCTCTTGATGACCTAACAAATTACAAAAAAAATATATTGATTTTTTTAATTAATTTAATATTTTTTTTTATGTCTTAACTTGAGCTTAATTAACTTTTAACTAATGTGGAGGAACATCTTAATGCACCTTTCACATTCAAGATTGAACATTCATAAATAATTCAGTATTCAAATATCTTAAAAAATTTATATCTAACTCACTCTAAAAAAACTAGTTGAAAAAGGATGATTATCTTATCACTTATATAAGTATTTTAACTCTATTTCTAACTAACAAAAAATTTCTTAACAACATTAAAGTAAATTTCTTATAAGATTGAGACTATTTCTTCTTTTTTTTTCATAATTTTAAATAATTTTTTAATACATTAATATCAATAAAAATTTATTAAAAAAATTGAAGTTTAAGTTGAGTTAAATTCTACAAATTTATTATTAAAAATATTAACTTTTTAAATTAATGATATGAACTTTGAAATACTTCTTTAAAAAAATTTAAATTAAAACGTACTTAAACAATTAAACAAAATATAACTTTACAATTGATCCATTTAAAGAGGACATTGTTGCCCTCTCAAAAAGTGGAACACTAGAGAAAAGACCAATTATTTACGTATGTATATTATTAAAAAAAATAAAGATTATAGAATAGGTGAAAATATAAGCACTAAAAAAATTTAAAAGTTAAACTTTAAGTATATGACACAGATAAAACTTAAAATTATAATGGTATTGGATGAAGTAATTAATGTCAAACTCAAAAAGGTACATAATTGGATCATTACTCTAAGGTTTGGAATCAATCAAAAACCTTCAATGTTATCAGCGCATAGACACCTCACCTCAAGTAAGAGTAAAAGACAATATACGGTACAGTCTTGAGAAAATTAAGAGACGATAGGATTAGAAATACTTTTAAATAACAATAAAATAAAATAAAATAATTTTCTTAAGAAATTTAACTATGTGTTTTGAATGAAATGAAATGGAGAAAAAGAAAAGAAAGAAAATAATACAAATACTGTATTTTTTTTAAAAAGAAAAAAAATAAGAAAATAGAAATGAAAGAGGTAAGGCTAACAAAAAAAAAATCCCTCCTCATTTAAGAAAAGTAAGATGGAGAAGAAAACTTCTTTTTCCCTTTTCCTTGTTTTATAAAATAAAACTATTTTTTATAATATAAAAAATCATATTAAAAAGATAATATCATAGTATAAATTTATTTTTTATACTATCTTTTTTCATTTTTTAAGTCATTCAAATAATAAAAAATTACACCTTCTTTTTATTTCTTTCCATTCGTATAATATGTTATTTTAATTTTAATTTTTATTTATTTATCTTCTTATCCAAATAAAAGAAATATTCGAGAGAAAACGACACGTAACAGGTAAGGGTAAGAACCAGAAAGAAGAAGTGAACTAGAACGAAGAAAACATCTTGAATTTCTCTTTAACGTTTGATTTTACTACAACTAATATTTGTGTTAGAAAGAAAAAGAAAAAGAAAACACCTTATAACGTTAGAGTGGAGTGTCATGCAAATTGAATTGACACGTCAAATGGCCATTTTAATCAGCTATTTTTGTTTTTTATGAATTATTTATTAGAGTTCAAGAGAAAATATAGAGAGAAAATTTTTATAATTTTTTCTTTAATCAGAACAAAATAAAATAGAGAGAAAATATAGAAAGAATAAAATATAAAATCCATAAAAACTAAATATATTTTTCCTTTACTTATTATTTTTTAAAAATTTCATCTACGAAAGCATTTAAGGCCAGTGACTCATAAGAGGGCTTATCGGTTGGTCCTTTTTAATCTTATCAACTTAGGTTAGGTTCTGATTGGAAAATAATGGGAATTAATTACTGTAAAATCGAAATTTTGTCAATCTTCATTTATTTTGCATTTAAAATTGTGTAAAATTTTCTTTTATCATTGATTTTTGTTTAGAAACTAATTTGAATTCGAAAAATAATAAAATAAGCATGTACTTATTATTTAACTTTTAAAATTTTAAAATTAATAATATGCGGATCCAAAGTGACCCATAAATAAAATAAAAAATCACAAAGAGAAAACTATTTTAAATAAATGTTTACAATGAAATAAATTAAAATGCAATACATATTAATTTCATAAAAATAATTGTAAATTTTCAAAACGGAAAGAAAAAGTTTAATTTAAATGAGTTTAAATATTTCTTAAAATATGGATTTTTTTTCTTCTTATTGTTCTTTATTCTTATTGGGAGAAAATGGAGCCTTAAAAATTGAAGAAATGCTTACAAAATCTTCCATGTTGAGGTTACAATTTCAGCGGCAGGATCAAGAAGACGATTATCATCAACTTTTGCACGTAGCGGAAAAAAAAATTTAAAATAGTGCAATGGGATTATTAAAAAAAATTAATATCAATTTGATGGAAAATATTTTAAATTGAGCTATTTGAATAAAATAGACAAATAAAAATATATTTAGTTTTCATTTTGTTTATTTAAATGTATATTTGTTTTTAAAAAAATTGTTCCAATTTAGCATTATCACTATATACTGACTAATTTAACCTCTTTTTTTTTTTTTAATTTACCAATCATACTTGACTGTTTATCTGTTATTTTTTAAATTATAAAATCATTGAACATATAAAATAATAAAATAAATTTATGAAATTTAACAAATTGATTTCATTTTACAAACTTTAACTACTAGAATAACTTTAATATTATCATATATTTTCAATTGTAGAATATCATTGTGGTTATAAGTACAACAGATACGCCATCATCTTATATAAAATTATAAAAAAAATGCTAATAAACTTTTTAAGATACTAATAAAAAATATTTTATTAAAATTCATTATCAAAATATTTTTAATGTACTTTTAAATTATTTATTTATTTATTACAAAACAAATTGACATTATAAAATTCAATATATTATTTATATTAAATATTGTAATTTTAATAAAATATTATTATTAATATTATAGTCGATATCTTTAATGGCAACCTAGAGCGTCGACTCTGGTGGGGACTATTTCTAGAATAACCGTACACGTGGGGCGTGCGACTTTAATTGTGTTTAATTTTCAATTCTTATAAATTTTATTTTACTTTCTGTTATACTTATTTTTAAAATATATTTTTTATTACATCATTAATCGTAATTTTTTAAAGCTTAAATAAGTTTTACATCTTCATAAAAAAATACTACGATTTTAATTAGTATTTTTAAAATAATTTTGTTAAAATTCAGTTTTAAAATAAATCAAGTGAATAAAAATACATCTCGGAATAAGTTTTAAAATAATTCCAAATTAAATTTTGGAAGCTCGAAACTATGTTCGTCACATAACAATTTTTTTCCTCCTAAATCACACTTTGGAACTTTCTAAAAAAATCAAACATGTTATCCTATAAACAAAAAGTATTACCCTTAGTCTTGAATGCCAAAGATAAGAAACTAATAATTTTAAAATTTTATTAAAAAAATTTATTATATTTTTATAACTTTAATGTAATTCTAAATCTTTCAACGCTGAAAAAAAATTGACAGCGCCAATTTTAAAAGTATTTATTTAATTTAATTTTACTTAAAGAGTTATTTGAACTAATTATATAAATATTATTTGATTGTATATGATTTTAATAAAATATTATAATTAAATCAAATCAAATTAATATTTAATGGCTTTGGTTAACGTCTTTAAGTTTTATTTATTTATTAATGACTTTATTTTTTTTTAAAAATTATATAAATTTTATTTTAATTTTTTTATTGAGATTAAAAAGAAACCATAAAAATGTTAATTTGTTGAAAAAATGAAAAATAAAAAAAGAGACACTAATTAATTAAAATGAGAAAATTGTGAAAGAACAATAAATTTATGAGTTTTGTTAACTTCAATTGTTAGAACTGAAAATAAGCAGCTAATAATAATAAAATTTTATTAGAAAGAAAAATATTTATTGTAATTTTATAATTTTAATACAACAATTATGTATTTTTTTCATAAAAAATTTCATAAATATATTATAGTGCAGCTTAGTTGGATTTTAATAATAGAAATGGAAATTCGAATCAAACTGTAACATATAATGTAATATTTTTATTTTCTGGTTTAATTAATTTTTTACTTTTTATTCATGTTCCATTTTAAACACTCCTAACTTCTTCCACTACTCCCAAAATGATGGATTTTTTTTTTCTTTATTGTGACGGGACTAAGAAAAACCCTTCCCCTTGAATTAGGATCCTCTCAAGTGACATACTCACAACAGAAGCATCCAATTTCAAATCTAACCATAAAAACATATTTGATTAAATTTATTATTATATTAATATAATTTGAATGGATAAGATGTAATCCAGGTCCTCCTACCAAATTATGGAAGTAACTTACCTCCTCACTGTTTCACTCCCTTCCTCCTGTTTCACAAGTTAAACCCCTTGCACGGTAAAAGCTATACATATTCATCTGAATAATGTGTTAAATGCCACTGGAAATATTTGGTTCCGTGACGTACAAGGAAAACATGGAAGACCGAAGACAGAAATTAAAATAGGGTTTTAATAGTTAAATATTTACTACAGTTATGTTCATTTTTCTGTCAATTATTAATTACTAGTGAAGTGAAGATAGCAATTTTTAATTCAAATATCATTAAAAATTATCTATTAGATTATTAACACTAACAAGCTTCTTCTGACAAAGCTAGTGTATTATTGCGACCGGTATTTCACAATTATTATTACTACATTACATTGATGAGTTGGACTGATAACAAACTACTGAGATGAGCACTATGAACCTAAATTATACAATATGGTATAGCTGGCTGTACACGTAAAATATACACTTCTATTTGGATTTATTTGAATCACGCGTGTTTATCAAAGAAAACGCTACTTTTCATTAAAATAAAAGCAATATAGAAACCAGATACAGATAAAAATATGGTGTTGGCAACCATAAAAGTTGAAATGAATTACAGCAATCATAAAACCAAGATGCTTTCCAGCTAAATCTAAAGATGAACAAAACCTTGCCCATATCAATTTCATGACGAAAAAACATAAAATACTGCTTAATAATATGCTGGATCGACATGAGCCACATCACACTATCAACACAGTATTCTAGAAACATTAACCGCACTGTCAAGGCAAGCATTCACAGCAAGAATGGCAATAGCATCCTTTGCTATCATGCCTGGTTGCCACCACCCCTTGTACGTCCACCCATTCGTCCCCTTCCACGCCCATAACCCCTGCCTCCACCTCTGCCTCTTTCATAACCACCACCTCTGCCTCCTTCATAACCACCACCTCTGCCTCCTTCATAACCACCACCTCCACCTCTGCCACCTTCATAACCAGTACCTGATGCAACCGTTAGATCAGCTTATAATCAGATTGAATAAGGACAAATCATCTTCTAGACATGACATCGTTCATACAACAGTTTTTCATAGTTTCGGGGTATGGATGGGTAAACGAAGAAAAACAGGAAACTAATAAAGCATTCACAAGTTGCACATTTCCAGAAGAAAAATATGAAGCAGAAACAAAACCAATCAATTATACTTACCACGATACCCCCAACCTCTACCTCGTCCGCCACCTCGTCCCCGATTTGAATACCCACCATTATCTGCCACAAACCAAACCACATTTAAAGACTAACTAAAAATAAAATTATAAACATCCAAAAATAAGAGGAACATACAAGTACTCAGAATCCATACCTTGATAATTTGCATACCCACCCTGGTAATACCCATATCCACCTTGATAATTTCCATAACCACCTTGATAGCCATAACCACCCCTTCCCCAATTCCTTCCTCTCCCTCTCCCCCGACCCCGACCTCGACCACGGCCATATGAGTCTAAAATACAGTATTAAATACAATATAGTTAGAAATTAATGCATTTAAAATCACAATGATTATTTTTTATTGTGATAGAGAAGTAGGATACCTTCATTTACAGCATTATAAGGACCCCGCGCTGGTTTTATAGGTTGCTGCTGATAATTGGTATGTGGCTTTGGTTGTTCCACAATAAGTGGAGCTTGATACCTATAAGCAAGATCATAGACATCTTATATATGTCAAGTCAAAACAAACCAAGTATTCAAAATATAAGCTAGAAAATTATTTTCAGCAGGCCATTATGCAGGAAATAAGGCAATTGAATAAAAAATAATTAGAAAGATTCAACAAGTTTCACGCACCCAGGAGAATTTTTGTTCAATTCTCTAGTTGATAAGGTGATTGAGATCATAGAGACATGTCGAGTCATTTCCACGCTGCATTAAATGTTGATGATCAACAACATTGTCACCAAAATACACAAAGATGCATGCATGCAAGTTAAAACTTGATGTAAAACTTACGGTACAAGACCCTCTTCAATGGGTTCCCACACATCTGTTATGCTAACTGAGCTAATGCCAGTATCCTGGTGCAGCCGGGGAATTCTCTTCTGTTTAAAGAGTAGAAATACAACCACAAAAATTCAATCTGAATTCTGAAGTATCTTGTATTTTCAGATTTTGTATTTTAGTATCTTTTTGGTAACCATTTATTTTAGATTTATTGCCCTCTTCTCAATTGTTATTGCCAATTATTTTAGGGTTATCTGCAATTCCTTTGTAACTCTAAATGGAAACATGGTAGACAGTCATTTGCATAAATTTTGAAGAAAATACATGCATTGTGCTGAACATCTTGCAAAGAAATTTAACCTTTAAAATCTCTGCAATCGCAACTGTCTTGCTGATTGCTTGTCCCATTGCCTTCAAGACAATCTCTCTTGCATGCTTTTCCTGGATGAATTATAACATAGAACCATAAGACAGCATAAGCAAATATATGACTAGTTTCTTAAAGATTTGCCAATCATGAATAACATTAAAACATGCATGAACACATGGGTGTAAATAAGTTGAGTTATTCATAAACTAGTCAAACTCAACATTTGTTTTAAAAACAAGATCAGCATTATAAGCTTAATATTAGTAAATTTACATTTTGTTACTAAGTAAATTGTAAGTTTTTTATAAAACTATAATTCTTAAATAGATCATTTTTTTATCAGTCTGCTGACTCAGTCTGTGTTGGATCCAATGTAACAATTCAAAAATTTATACTATTGTAGTATCTAACCATCACAATATGCATATAACACCACGATTCTAATAGGTTTCTAATTCAACTTTGGAATGGAATAGCCACATCTGTTTATTAGATGACTTGGACAATCTGAATAAGAAATACTGAAATAGTAAAATATCTATTACAATGGTCCATATTACAAGAATAGCAAAGATGAAAATTCTGGGCCGGATGAGTAAAAATAAGGATGAACTTTACGAAAGAATGTTAGAATAGGCCCTACTGGTAAGATGATACAAACTCGCAAACTTGTCTACAAGATGGAATATAGTAGAATTACAATGGTTTAGGAAGACCACCAAAAATATTAGGAGAAACCATTAGAAAAAGACCTCACTCATTTGATCTTTTGTGAATTTGGTCTCTGATAGAGCTCAAGGGCATTGTTTATGTAGCCAACCCCACAAGAGGTATTATGTTTTGTGGTGGTTGTCATTATCAATAAATACGTTAGCAAAAGAAAGCCTGCACAGGTACACCTACCCCCCCCCCTCTCCTCCCGGCAATTTGCACACTTGCACACACACAAGGAGAGGAGAGCAGAAGAATGAATGCCTCAGGTGATACATTTACTTCTCTTCCTTATTACACATCACTTCTCTAAGCATAGGTTTTCAGCAATGCGGCTGACACAATAATCAATTAAGTGCTAGTTTAGAATTGCTTAATTGAGTTGATACACTAAATAAATCATAAACTAACGGCTAAGTAAAATGGGTATGCATAAAGTGTATAAATAACATCTAAAAATCAAATGATCAGATTTATATATTAAAAGAAAGACTGCAAAATCACAAACCTTAACAGTTACATATTATTTATTTGTAATTTACATACTCATGAAAATTTTCAGTTTTTCTCATTTAATATTTTCTCAAGAACAATGATTTACTTCAAGTTCTGTAGCTTCTATAAGATGAGTTCCGAATTCATAATCACTTCAACTTCCTAACTTGTGAATCCAACATAATAAATTTATACTGTACTTGTATATATATAATCAAAAAATATATAATTAGCATATTCAGAGTGTGTTTGGGTACAATGTTTAATGAAGCGCTATTCAATAAGCTTTTTATATATGAGGGCTTATCTTATAAATTTGACCATAAATTTCTAGGAATAAGCTAAAAAGTGCTTATTAATAAGCCATACTGAGAAACTTATTTGAAATCAAGAATGGGGGAGAGGAGTTGAGAAGCAGAACAGAGGATATCATGAAAAGAAGAACGAGACTTGCAAGCAGGAACAGAGCGAGTGAATAAGGGGTGAGCAGTGGACTGGGTAGAGAGTGCTTGGTTGATATTGAATAACTGTTGCATAGGATGCTGGAATCAGTGGGGTAGCCAAAACCCAGGAAACGGAAAGGTATGGCTGGAAAGAGCACCGGTGATCAGTGTACTGGAGCTCTTGAGCGGATGAGATGAGCATCTTCTTGATTTAAATGTGAATAAGGGAAGAAATGAATGAAGGAGGGTTTCATGTTTCCTGATTCCAAATATGCTTGGGGAAATGATGAAAATATAAATAAAAAGGGCTTTCCCTTCCGCAATACAATGGGAGTGCAAACAGCTGTGAATGTATTAGATTTGCAGCACAAATCGCAGCACAACAGCCACGGCATCATAATGCTCCTTGAACTGAAATCTGTAGCAGCCTCCACCCACAAAGGGCTGTACTGGAGCAGTGGTGTGTGATTAATAACTATATTTCATAGTGCTTTGATTGTTTCAAATAGCTAGTAAGACCTGTAATTTACAAAACCTGAGAACATATCCACAGTGTAGCTTTTTATTGAGCTTCTCCCAAGGTTTCAAATTGTGGCCATACTATTATGGTTATAAAGGTCTCTGCAATGGCATCACAACCAAAATTGTGGCACAGTATGAACTGTATTTGCCCACCATTTTGGTAATTTCAAAACCACAAAATAAACCTTGAATTTTCCTATTGTACTGAACAATTAATAAATCAGAAAAGAGGCAATTCAAAAAATTTATATTACAAATCACAGAATGCAAACATCACATATCATCCACATTTTAGAATTACAGTGTGTACTATCTTTGCTGTCCGAATAAACCATGGAGTTGAATGAAATACGTATGCAACAAAAATAAAAAATAAACCAACAACACATTCCAAAAAACACCATATCAAAACAGACACAAAACACATTGAATAATCCACAAAATGAGAAGCCAATCTCAATGGTCAATCAACAAAAACAAAACAGAAAACACATTTTCATTGGCTTATTCCTTCATCCATTCATTTAATGATAACAACATAGGGTTTTTTAACATAATCAAACTCTCACAACCAAGCGTCATAAGAGAACAAATGGAAACACAGAATGAAATCAATTACACACCCACTCCAACACGCAAACCTCGTCAATCAAAAGTCAACCAAACCAGCATTCACTAAACAGCTTTAATTAAAAAAAAAAATCCAAAATCGCAAAACATTGCGAAAATGCCATCTCAGAACAACAGGAACATCCCGAAACCAAAAACAAAACCACAATCAGCACAAAAATCATATTTATAAAAAAAAAAAAAAACGAACGACTTCTCATATTCTAGAATCATCGATTGACGAAACGCAAAGGCGAACATTGAAGTAATAGAGAGAGAGAGAGAGAGAGAGAGAGAGAGAGTGGACCTGGAGAAGGGAAGTGGCGTAGGTGATGTAGTTACGAATGGCGCCTTGTGTTGTGATTCGGATCTCGTTCTCGTTGATGGGAGACTCAGGCTTGGGCTTCTCAACCTTCTGGTACCTATCCATGGCTGGCTATGCCGGAAGAGAGAGAGAGAGAGAGAGAGAGAGAGAGAGTGAAACCCTAAGCTTAAAACCCTAGAGTAGAAGAGGAGAAGAAAAAAGAATAGAAGGGTAAAGTATTTCTTAAACCTCAGGGTCCGTATTATGCGTCTTTGGGTTTGGGGTGTTATGCGGGCTACTCCCACTACTCTCTAGTTTGTTGCATGCCTTCCTCACCTATTCTTCCCTGTCCACGCGCGTGCCTTACACGTACGGCTTAGATTCATTCCCTTCTCCATTTTTCTTTTAATTTTCTTTTTCGGATAAATGACCCCATTTTTCGTGAAACGGGTACCCGGGTAGGTTGTTTGTTCTACAAGCAAGGCAAGGTCCATGTGCTTTTCTTCACAAGATTAACCCCGTAATCTGTTTTCAACCTTTGAGTGAGTAAAACTTTTTAGATTTTAATTTTTGGTTCTGAATTAATTTTCAACCTTTTATTTGACTCACTCGGATTTTGGTCATGTTTAAGATAATTCAGTCAATTTAAGTATAAAATAAATTTATAAATTGGATTCAGACAATTATTTTATAATTTGAATAAAAAATATTTGCTTGCTTAGCATGGTAAAATTCAAATAAAATCGAATAACTTATCTTATCACTTCTATTTACGAGTACTAGAAATAAAATATAATAGAAATATTATACTATTTGAATGGACAAAAATGAAAAAATATAATAATTAAAAATAAATTTAACTTAAAAATTTTGATCTATCTATTATATATTTTTATCTTAATATAAATTATTTATTTTATTTTTAAATAGTTAAATTTAAAAGAAGGTGTATATCTCCTAAACTGTTGCAATTTTACGGCTCTATGGGATGGAAATGTTTTGACGTGGAACTCCCTTAAATAAAAGGATGTATCTAGAAATTTCAGTTTAACTGAAAGAACAAAATGGTATAATATTTCACAATTTTGTTCCTCTTTAGATGAATTAAGCATATCAATAGCATTAGCACAATCAGATAGGTTCCTTTAGAGATCATAAGAGACAAAGTTGCATGCATGAATAGGTATTGCCTTAGATTTGTCTAAATTCATTTTCATCCCCACATTCTGATTGATTAGTAAGGTGAGTTTTCCATGCATAAGAAGTTCTAACGAGCTTGTGTAAATCATCTCCCACAACCTCCCAATAAGAATTGTAGTTGTAGAAAAGGGTTGAAAGCCATCAGGTCAGGTAATATAGAGACCATTCTTATCTGGATTTTTTATACCACATCAATTCCTTCCAACCCTGTTGGAGTTGCTGCTGCAGTTTTTCCTATTTAACTTATTTATTCATTTTCAAATTCTTAAAACAGGTGTTTGACAAAATTAATGTTTTGCCAAAGTAAGTTGGAAGAAATTCATCCTGATCATTTAACTTTTATATAGGTACTTTGTTGTTATTGATAAAACTTCTATTTCTTTTGTCAAATGTATTGTTCATTTCCTTCTTCAAATTTACTCATTTCTCTCTTCCATCTTCTTCTTTTTCCTCACTTCATTTTTCTCATCATTTTTCTTTTTCCTTCTCTTCATCTCTACATCGTGGATTTAAAAAAAGAAAGAAAGAAAGAAAGAAAGAAATACAGCAGTTCATACTGAAAATCACAAATGTAAAGGTAGGAGAAGCCTATGAAATCATCAGTGAAACATTTGCAATATCAATCTCAACCCATGTCCAACCCAATATGCAGCCCAAATGCAAACGTAAGTTTACATCACTGTCCTTTTTCTTTTTTTAATCACACACAAATGGAAGGATGAAAATGAAGAAGAATAGAAGAAAAAGATGATGAAGGAGAGGAAGAAAAGAGTTATAGACTTGAAGAAGAGATCAACAATATACATATAAGAAAATACAAAATTTTATCAGAGCTAACTTTTTTTTTCTATAAAATATAGAAATTTTTAATTACCTAGTGATATGGAAAGAAAAATGACTTGTCTTATAATTTAAGTTGCCTTAATGAAATTGGATTAGGTCTTTCACAAAGGAGTAAAAGAAAGTTCTAACAATTTGGAAAAAACTCAATTTTCATTTAACTTCACAATAGTTTTTTTTTTTAAAAATAATAAGAAATAATTGACACTTAAAATTTAAGAGACCAATATTCTAATTACTAAATGATATAAAATGAAAAATGAATCACCTTAGTATTCTGGCTTAAGGAAGAATATTGACGGCAAACGAAAAGAGAGATAAAAAGGTGAATGATAAGTCATTGTTTATTTATCATAAGTTATCTTGATAAGATCAAATTAGTTTTTGCCTAAGAACTAAAGAGAAGTTCTCATGTTTTAAAGTAAACTCTAATTTTATTTAATTTTCAACTTTATAATTACATAATTTCCTATTTATAGAAAACGAATCCTTATAATAGAAATCTAATATAATATGAAATAAATCATTATGAAATTTTCAACCTAATAGAGAAAATATATCTTAATAACAAAGTCCAATGAATTAAAACATATTCTAATAAATCATGAATCCTAATAAAATTAATCTTTTTATTTTAATGCATCAAATTAAAATATCCTTTAATATTAGTTTTATTTTTAGTTCAAATATCTCGAAATTATTTGAAGTGTTACAGACTAAGAAATAATTTTTTTACCACACGATTATATTTTGGTTAAATAAACTTTGAAGTTAATTTTAACTTATTTGGCTAACTAAAAACATACACATAATTACAAATATTGAATTCGGTCAATATCATTAAATAAGAGTAACATTAATGTTGACAGTGAACCAATCTAAATGAAGATGTGACATTAAAGATTGAGCATGGACAATCATGGAGAGTTCCATCTATGCCAATAGGAGTAGACGCATGTGATTGGGCAATAATTTTTATCTTGAAAGAGAACATTAAACAAAACAAGTGAGGCAGCACATGAAAAAGGAGAAAAAACAGCACAACTATGAAATCGTGGTGACAAGAACAACATAGACAGAGAACACACATCTTGAGGAAATGAATCTTTTATTGGCTGTAAAAAAGCTTGCATGCTCTATCTTTCTATCCCCTTGTCCTCAAATGATAACACAAGAATCGCTTATTTGTGGCAATTTCCTGAGAATTTTTAACAAATGTGCAATGGTTTCTCGAAATTTAACAGTTATTAAACATGTAAGCAACAGATTAAATGATAATATCAGCACTTAGAAATGCAACACGAAACTCAATAATTCACATAATTATTACTTAAATTTACAAAGACTAATACATCATCCAATATCACTAGGTAAAAAGGTCAACACTAGTTTTATGACAGTCAAACAAGACATAGAGACATACAATATTTTGTATCTATTACATACTTCATGACAGTTACTGCTCTTGTCTGGTGTGAATGATGCACAAACCTTTGGTGCAACAGCATCCATATGCAACCGTCTTCAGCAAATGACCTAGGCTTTCTTCTTTTAGCGTATTCCCTAATGTTTTCTGTTGAATTTTAAAACCCCCGAGTTACTTGGATCTATATCAGAAGCAGCATCATATTGTTGAACAATTGAAATTAAATTGGGAAAGTCATTATAAGTGAGCCACTAAGAAGTGTAAAATGAAAAGTTTAAGGTAAAGTTCAATAATGCTAATCAATTGTAGACAAAAATAAGTTACTGACACCCTTAACCAATCCAGAAAAAATCAATTAAAATAAACTTCGAACATATTGACATATGTCAAGATTCTTTAAATTCAACAGCTCATTATATATAAAAAACAAACCATGAAGTGTGTGTGGCTCATTTGCTAAACAATTCATTATATATATATATATATATATATATTCTGTTTTATCAGACCCATTTGACATTGCCAATTCACTCACTCAAAAGAGACTGATATAAAGGCACTGATACTTGTCTTAACTCTTAACCATAGATATCAATCCTGAATAACGGAGCATAATGCTATAGTGGGATAACAAGATGCAGGATGGTCGCTATTTTAACTATTATAGTACAAACTAAATAATTTGTACTATTACTATACATAAGAATGCTCGAGCAAAAATAAAATAAATAAAGAAGTTCATGATATATAATAAGTCGTATTTTATACACAATCACCATCGCTTAAGTAACGCAGTCAAAAGAAGAAAGATGATGGTGATTAATAGAAAAAGAACATAACACGTTAAATTAAAAATTAGCAGAAAATGAATTGGGAAGTCTAAAATAAGAAGGAACAGAAGACAGGAAAAAAAATAGCCCTTAAAATGTGAAGGAACAGAGGTCAAAACAGAGGCAACCTTTTATGTGAATGGCCAAGGCAGAAGGGTTTCAAATCTTATTATGTTTCTGAAGCAAAAAATGCAATAGAAAATCGGGGTGAAATCGCAATTTTACCCCAAAAAACCCTAAACATTGTTTTAGGGTAAAAATGGGTTTTTAAAAACCTAACTCATGATAACACTGCTATTGCAAGCGAAAGCCTCATTTTTAGCAGCTATTGCAACCAAGATGCCCGCTATTGAAAATTGCTCTTTTATTTGAATCCAGTAGCAACCCAGGGCCAATCTGCTACTCCGCTATAGTGCTGCTATTGATTACTATGGTCTTAACTTACTGCCAAACAAAGGACATTCTCAAGTCTAAATGGAAGCAATATCAATAACTTTCTTCATATACAATTTTAAAGATGTTCATTTAACTGGAAGTTCCATTACATGAATAACTCCAGGATGTTTATTAAAATATGAATTCAAGTACCAAAGACAATTTTGAAAATTCAAATCTATTTCTCTCTCTCTCTCTCTCTCTCTCTCTCTCTATATATATATATATATATATATATATATATATATATATATTCATACACACACAACATATTTGTTTTCATGAACATGATGCACTAATTTGTGTATGTTATTCATGTACTATGCACTGTGCAGATATTAATCTCCATTCATAATAATCATTTCTATGCACTGTGCAGATATTAATCTCCATTCATAATAAACCATTTCCTTAATTCAATGGTTTAAGTTTTCACCCAAAACTAACCTGACATGACATTCTGAATCTTCAACAGACATATCTTTGAATTAAATAATTAAAACTCATCAAGACCATTATTGGTGGACACTTGTTGCTTATTAAATCATCAAATGTCTACTATATATTCTGTTATGTAAAACTAAGAATCTACCTTTCATCAACTTGATTGTGTGTGGGGTACAAATCAACTTAGTGAAGTTGGCAAAATGGCACTATCAAATGATTTTAACAATCCATCTTATCCATGCAACATATTAGATTTGACATACACTAATTAACCAAACTGTTGTATAATACCAAAAATGGATATGAGCAGCCTCATAGAGAAAACAATATTATTATTAGAATCTGTGAAGAGCTACCAATAAAGAAGGAATTAATGAGAAAGAACAAAACAAAAAATATGTGAATACAATGAAATTAATTGTCTCAAACATATGGCTACTGCTCCTAAATCCTAATGCAAAAATCTATGATATCATTCTGTGGTGATCAAATATGTCATTTTAAAAAAATTCTACATGTTCATTCCACACTGCAAATTGGTCTAGTTATGAAGCTAAACATTCTGTACGGATAATTGGTTTAGTTATATAGCTAAATGTTCCATTTCAACTAGCGTGTTTGCAATAATTGCAATAGCAAGTTAAACAGATAAGAAAGATCTATGAAGTTTATTCTTTCCCAACTTTGACTTGCATTATCACCCAAAGCAGAAATACATAATTATCAAAATGTTAAAGACAGTGAAAAAACAATCATTAAACTATAAGAAAATATCATTTATTTCATAGCTACCTCTCTATACTCTTTCCTATTTTGATAAATATAAAATCGCTACCAGATTTTACTGATGTTAACTAACTAAACAATACCAAGATTGTTAGATTTGAGAATCTATATAAATTCATGCACCTTCTGTAGATTCAACTACTAAACTCATAATTCACCTAATACAAAAATATGATGAAAACACTTATGGCGGTATCCAAATAAAATTGACCCACAAGTTTGACAACCATGACAAAGATAATGCATACATAGTCTATAAAAACTATAACATCTAATCCTATAATTATGATGCTAACAAGTGCGGCTAATTTTATAAGGAGCCAATTGACTATATATATATATATATATATATATATATATATATACACACACACACACACGGTTACATCAAGCAATCATAACAACAAGGGCCAAAAGCTCAAACAATTAGGATGTATTTAGTGCAATATCACTAACTAAGGTGAAACATATCTGTAATTGACCCTAGAGGCAATCAAACAAGGAATTGTTAAGATAATTGAGACTGTAAGAGATTTCATGGTCAAAAGGCACATATAAATTATTGTAAAACAAAAAAACAGAACACAAAATCAAATTTGGACATCATACACTGACCTTCATGATAGAAAGGAACACATTTATAATTGTGAAACAGAACATAACAGAACCCAAAAAACCAAATTTAGAGGAAATAGCCCAAAATTATGTATCCAACGAAGATGGTAAGAAACAAAGATACCTAGTAGGAAACTGATCAGTCTATTGAAGTCCAGGACCTTCACGTTCACCCAGAATACTATGCAGTGAAACAGTTGAACAAAAACTAACAACCTTGTGAAACCTGTTCATGAGAGATGGCAATTGGGGCACTTTCCTCCAAGTGCACCTCCCAGACGCAGCATCAATCTCACACACACAGGCTGGATACATCCTATGGAAGTCCTCATTGAAAAGATATATAAGATCACCTAATCCAACACACTTCAAGCTTGCAAATTTATCATCCTCATCACCATCAAACAAGCTAGAAAGCAAATCATGAGGCATCACTGCAATCTCACTGAACTCCATGCTCCTCTCATCTACCTTCCACAACACAAAGGAAGATCTACACACCCCAGCAAGAACAAGCTGTTCCCTACACCCGATCAAGAAGGAGAAAACCACCCCAGAAGGCCTAAGAGTCTGAACCTCACTCCAAACTCTTAGGTTCAAATCAAAGGATGACACAAAGCAAGAGTATATCCCAAACACATAGAACCTACCCTTGAACAAAGCAGACGAAAGGGAAGAGGAGGAGTTTCCTGATCTGAAATCAGCAGGGAGAGGAGGTCCAAGTTCCCAAGAACCCAAAAGAGGGTCATAAATTTCAACATCCAAACGGTCCTCTATGTCGACCAAGTTACCAATGAACTTAACACCACCAACAACAATGAACTTGGGGTGTTTTCCATGATCATTGAAGACACCCAAAAGAGGGTTGATTCTTGGGAAGTGAAGGGGTGGAGTGCTATGCCAAAAGGGGTGGAGAATAGGGGTGTAGAGGAAGTTTGGTGCAGTGATGAAGAAGAAGGAGTTGGTGCCAACGAAGGAAGTGTTTGGTTGGTGGTGTTGTGGGGTGGAGGGAGTGGGAAGGAGGAACCATGAGTTGGAAGAAGGGTCAAAGGCAAAAGATTGGTTGTTTTTGGAGGAGATGTTGTGGATTCCATGGAGGAAGAACCATGGTTTGTTGGGGTGGTTGGAGAGTATAGAGAATGAAGAGGATGAGATTATGGAGTGCCACAACTTGCACACGGTTGAGGCTCTTAATAAGGTTGGGATTGGGAGAAGGGAAAGGATCAATTCTAAGAGGTCTGAGCTTAGATTTGTGATCTCTGTCATTTCATCTCGAAGGGTTGTTTGTGTTGGAACACTCTGATGGGAAAAGAGAAAGAGAGAGAGAGAGACAGAGGGAATGAGACTGTGTCCAAAGAGAGAGAAAGAAGAAGTGGATATATAGTTGAGGAGTTGATCATGTGCATTGAATTTTGGTGATGTTGAGAAAATCTATTCTCTCTTATTTTGAGAAATTATTATATTCATATAAAACAAATACAATAATTCATGCAAATAAATAAGACATAAAAAAAAAAACAGACCAAAATATGAAATATGGTAAAGGATATGATAGATAGACCGACAAAAAGTATATTTTATATGAAGTATACTGTATTTACTTTTAGAATTTATTAAATAATTCTTAAATTAAATAAAATGTTATTTTAATTTTTAATATATTTAATTTTTATTTTAACAATTTATTAAAATAGTTTTAAATTAAATAAAATATTAGTTGAATTACTAAATAATTTTTAATTATTTAAACTTTTAATGCAAAAATTATTCATTATTTTAATTTTTATCGTCCTTTCGACTTAATATATTAGATGTCAATCAAATATGATATATCACAAAGAAATGTAATTTAAAATTTATTTTTCTTTCAAAATATGTTAATTTAGTTTTAAATAATTTTTAAATTTAAAATTTCATAGAGACTAAATTAACTTATTAAAAAATTTAATTAGTTCTTAAAGAATTTTTAGTAAGATAATTTAGTCTTCCCAAATTTTAAATTTTTAAAGATTAAATTCATAACTTAAAATGAAAGTTTATATCACGTGATTATTAAATGTTATATATTATATCAATCGATATTTAGTATGTTACGTTAGTTTGTCTTTTTAAGAAAATTTACGTCTAATGATATAGTGTAAAAGGATTGACGATGACATGTTAAAGATTAAAATAAAATTTTACTTATTTTATAAATTATTTTGATGAATTTATAAAAAATAATAAATGTAAGAACGTAAAAACTGGTAATTTACTATATGTTATTGAATAGTTTTATTATGTAAATATAATATTTTATTACTTTTATCTATTATTATTAAAATATGCATATTAATCTTTTAAAATATTTCATAAAACTTTTGAAATGAGAAAATGATTTTTTTTCATTTTTTATTTTTTAATAAACATGAAAAATATGACTGGGGAAATCATTTTTGTAAGTTCTATGATTGATTTGACGTATATTCAACTTCCATACTGTAGAAAGGTGGAGTCAAATACAAGTTTATATATTTTAAAAACTAAAAGAAAGTTTAATTGGTAAAGAAACATGCCTGAAATTAACTTTTTAAATCTGTTGTTCTTTCGTGATTTAAGCATATCTTTTGAGTAAAAAAGTTATTTAAGAAGAATGATAAAAGTAAACGATTTTATATTAGCACTTCATTAATTGTTACAAAAAAAAGGTTGACCTGTTGAAATGCTAAGCTATCGACGTAGGATTTGGATAAGGTATTAGGCTCTTTTTTTATATGGTTTTTTTATTATTTTAAAATATAAAAATATGAGAGTTTTGATAAAATTATATTAATATATTTTTTTTTATAAAAGTTGTCAATAACATTTTTATTTGTAAGAAATTTAATTATAATCAAAATTTATCAATAGCAAAATTTATAAATAAATAAATTTTGTATAAAAATTATCATTAACAAATTTAAAATAAAAAGATATTTTTATTAATTAAAATTATCATTGACAACTTTCATGCTAAAAAATAATAATAAATTTTTTAAAAATTATTATTAGCAACTTTTTAATCTTAAAAATAATAAAAAATATTAAGTAGTTCTTTATTATTTGCAAATTACAATAAAAAAAAAGAAAGATTTTTAGATGTAGTTTAAGTTAATTCATTGAGAAAAATGAGTGTGTGAATATTGATACTAAAAATTATAATGTTTTATAATTAATTTTTATTTTTAGTTTTTAAAATTGCATAAATTATTCTTTTAATTTTTGGTGAATGACAAAGAATATATTATTTTTATTACATGTAAAAATAAAAAATAAATAAATTTAAATAAAGATTAAATGATATTATATTTTTCATAAATAGATTTTTAATTGTTATTATTATATCTTAATTGTTATCGAAGCTTGTGAAGTATTAAATAACAATTATTTTACTTAGACATGGCTCATTGATTTATTATACGTAATTTAATTTTTTTAATTATGTATAATATAGTTGTAGAATTAGGCAAAAATCTTTTAACATAATTCACACATATCAGAACGTGCTTAATATTTTATTGAGTATTTGTAATTGACAATATTTTTCTTTCCTTTAACATTTGTCTTAAAAAATATAGAAAAATATTAATTAAGCATTTCTTAAAAATTTAAAATAAAATATAATTTATTATAGTAAAGTTATAATAATTTATTTTAAAAATTAAAAACTTAAAAGAAATATAATAAACACTTCTTACTGTATGCAACTAAAATATCCATTAACACAAATCTAAAAAAGATCTCTATATATTAAATACGTGAGTTCGTTGTAAATAAAATTATTTTTAGAAATTAAATTAAATGATAAGAGTTTTTCTCTTATCATTTTATTTATATTTTCTTGTATTTTATATTATTTTTAAAATCCTTTTATTAATTTATAAATTTCTTTTTGATTTGATATTATTCAATATAAAATATTTATTATTAATAATAAAATACTATTCTATTCTAAATTTGTAAATATTTTAAAATATTTTATTTTTATAGAAAATTATTTTATTTTAAGAATTTTTATTTAACATAAAAAATTAACTTATGTCCAATTTAAAAAAGTGATATTATTATTATTATTATTATTATTATTATTATTAAGTCAAGTAAGAATATAAAAATGTAGCGGTAACTGGGCCCCAACTAAAGCTGCATCCGGCACGCAACGTCCCAGTAAACACTAAGAATGACGTTGACATAATAATAATAATAATGTTTTTATATTTTATATTTTTATTTTGACTTAATTATTATTTAAAATTTTGTAAATATTTTAATTTTAATTTTGTTTAAATAATATTTTAAAAAAAATTTATTATTATTATTATTATTATTATTATTATTATTATTATTATTGTCATCAATTTGATATTTTAAATATTATAATTTTTTATGTGATTCTTTTAAACAATATGGTTTTTTATTTGATCTGAATATTTTGAATTTTTTATTTAGTCTCTAAAATAAAAATAAATCATAATATTTAAATGAATAAAATGAGAAAAATAAACGAAAGAAACTATCTTATAAGAAAAAAATTTGAGAGATTCATTTAAAAATAATTAAAAGTAAAAAAAATAAAAAATATTTTTTGTTTAATAACAATAAAAAGAATACATTGAAAAATTATGAAATAGATATTTGAAATTTTAAAAATAAGTTAATAAGAAAATATACCGAATGCTTGAGAATGTATATTTGTAGCATTTTCTTTTATAATAATCATGGTTTGAATTGTATGTACCTTCGTTGACTTGATGTTTTACCAATCACACGTTCTCTAGAACAACAATCTACAGTGCCGCTACCATGTGCCAAAACAGGAAGACAATAAATGACATTATTGAAAGCCCAATAATTGATGAAATTGAAGCTCAAATGAATAATGTGATAATGCAACACAGTTAAGGATCACACATCATACTTATCCTTATCTTTGAGTTGGGACGTGGAGAAAAATTATCTGAGATCAAAATTATAAAGCTTAATGTTATTAATATGTGTGAAAACATGAAAGATAATTATAAAATTTAAGATTAAAGCGGTAACAATAATTTTATAACAGTAAACAATTAAAGATAAAAATTACGCAAACTCTAATAGTTTTTGTGCAAATTTTTAGTAGTTCCTCAACGATCATTTGAGTGGGTACTGCGTTATTAATTAATAAAAGTTTACTATTTATTACTTATAACTGTTTGGTTTAGGGGATGGTATAGGTTTTATTCACTTTAGATAAAGTTTTAGTTTTGATTTTCTTATGAAAATTAAATTTGTCATGTTATTAGTGTTTTTAGTTTGAATAAAAAAATCATTTATGTAGAAGATGCTTATTAACAGGGTTCACGGCAAAGTTACATGGATTCTAAAAGTTGCTATTCCTTCCGTTTTTTTTTTTATGTCTTCTAAAATTAAAACACAGAAATTAAAAAAATTATTTAATATTTTTAGATCACTAAATTTTGATATTTATTTTCCTGTTTTATTCTTATATTTTTTTATTAAATTATTTTAAAATGAATTATCTGCTACCAAACGAGGAAGAGTCGCACCATACTTGAAAAAGCAAAAATTTATCGTAAAAGTTATGTTTTAGTTGTTCTAGCATGTCTGAGATTTGATTCACAAGGCAACGAAGTTTTTTATGGAAATATTGGCCTTTTTTCCTTTATTACTCAAGAACCTACTAAAAGGACCGGTGTAAACCGAATAGCGGGAACAATAGAAACAAAAGTAATAACTTCAGTATATAGAGAAGTGATAAGAAAGATTCTAATTGAGAAAGTACTACCTGCTATAAAGGAAAAGTGGCCAAGAGATGAGTTGGAGCACCTAATCTTTATTCAGTAAGATAATGCTAGAACACATATTAGTCATGATGATGATGATGAGTTTCTTAAAGTAGCTTCACAAGATGGGTTTAATAATATTCATTTGATATCTCAACTTGCTAATTTTCCAGACTTAAATATCTTGGACTTTGGATTTTTCAATGCCATACAATCATTACAGTACAAGGAATCACCCAAAACTATTGATGAACTTGTTGGTGCAGTTGTGAAGTCTTTTAAAAAAAAATTTACGGTGAAGTTTAACTATATATTTTTAACATTGTAATTATGCATGAATGAGATTATGAAAACTAACGGTTCTAATAAATATAAAATTCCACATTTTAAGAAAAGAAGGCAAGAAAGACAACAAGAGATATATACTTAAGCCAGGTGTGATGCTGAATTGGTTCGAGAAGTCATGAATTACCTCAATAGTGGTCCAACATTAAGCTTATGTCACTTGAAGTTTTGTGTAAACATTCATGTTTGATTATGCCAATCATGACTGGATTGTGGTCACATTCTTATTTTAGTGTTTACATTAAT